TCGGCATAGGTTGGCCTCGATGATGCCAGAGGTGTTTTCCAGCCCCGGTGACTCTGTGGTTCCCGCAGCCAGCCCGGGAGCTCGGGGTCGGAGGGCGGGCGGGTGGCGGTGCCCTGGCTGGAGCGGGGCCGGCCCGAGCAGTCCCCGCTGTCCTTGGCCAGGTGAGCCTGCGAGCTGGGATTGGGTTACTGCTGTCTCATTCCCTGCTCTGCGGGCAGGAGCGGATCCGCCACCGCACTGCCCTGTAGGATGAATGCGTGGCCTCGGGACGGCCTGTGCTGGGCTCTGCTCCCTGAACTCCGGGGCTCTTGGACACCGCTCAAGAGAGGGACGTGCCCGGAGTCCGAAGGCTGTGGGAAGCAATTGAACCCGGGCAGGCAAGGCAGCCGAGCCCAGCGCTATCCCCACACACCTCAGACAAGGGACAGTGGCTGCAGCAAGACGTGTGGTGTTTCTGTTGACGATACATTTAGGTGTTCTCGAGCATCTTCAGCCCGCTCTGCGGGCCTAACATGAAATAAACGTTTGTCTTCCCGTCTCTGAGTTTTAACGTTTGGTAAATTAACACTGTTTTTATGAGATTTGGGTCTTCAGAGGTGTCTTTACTGGTCTTGGCATTAACTATTTTATAGCGATAGCAAGGCAGTGCATTTAATGTAATTAAATCTGGTGTGAGTAAAAAGTGAACAGAGATCACACATGACTTCGAATTAATACTTCAGTCTTTAATCATGAAGCAACATAATTAAGATTATTAGATATGGAGTATTTAAGGTAATTCAATACAGAGTATTTAAGGCAATTCATTATGAAGTATTTTAAGTTTTCCTAGAGTATTATAGTTAGTTTTCTCATAATTAGAATATTTTAAAAGTCCTGGTTTGGACTTCGACCTCTCCTTGAAAAACTTAACATATTTTTGAGAAATTCTAGAGTAAGTCAGGGTATTCCTAAGTAACTATTTTTATGGAGTAGCTTTCACTCCCTTACATTCCTTATGACCTATACTGTAGCCTATATAATTGATCCTTACAAGACTTTGATAAGCTAGTCAGGGATAACATCACTGTTTACTAAGTGTGATCAAATGTCTCAGATAAATCCCAGAGGGAGTCAACTGTGGATAGGATTTAACAGTCCTTGTTCTTGATTTGGTTTCTTAAAGAATTATTTTTCTGAAGTGGGTTGTGTTGAGCTCTTTCAGTGTTAAAATTCAAAGCTGCTACAGAATGGAATAAGAGATTCTGATACATTCCTTTCTTTAGAATGATACTAGTCAGAACTAATGACTGACATTTTCCTGAAGTTTTAGCAATTCAGTGTCAAGGAAAGGAAAATGTCTGTCAAGTGGTACCAGAAGTGCCCTTTGGTAAAAATTGCTTCACTTATTAATTGCCTGCAGCACTGAGTGAAGAAGTTCTGATACTAATATACTACTGTTAGTAATTTTTTTTCTATGTGAGAAGAGCTTTACACTGCAAAAATAAGATTTGCAAAATGGGAGCATACAGTTGTCAGGAAGTCAGATCTCCAAAGGCAGATGGAGTGCAAGGTGAGTTGGAATCCCAGAATCCCAGAATGGTTTAGGTTGGAAGGGACCTTAAATTCATCTTGTTCCAACCCCTGCCATGGGCAGGGACACCTTCCACTCTCCCAGCTTCCTCCAAGTCCCATCCAGTCTGGCCTTGGACACTTCAGGGATACAGGGGAAGCTTCTCTGGGCACCCTGTGCCAGGGTCTCTCCACCCTCACAGGAAGAAATCTGGTAAAATGCAAAACTATACACTGCCATGTAAATGAACAAATTAGGAACGTTTCTAAGAACTTTTTGCTGAAAGAGACACAAAAAGAAATTTAACACATTCAAGCTGCACTAATGGTGTCCAGCTCACTGTATTTCTAAGAATATTTACTTGATTCTGTTTTATATTTCCTGTATGATTTAATAGTGGCACCACGGATCCCCTCTGCAATGTGTTCTTGTTGCTTTTAAGGATGTGAAAAAAAGGCCACCAAATACTGTCCAAGTGCAGGCTGTTCTCCTGCCAAGACATCAACATGAGGGTTTTATGCTCAGGGGACAGCTGTGGTGCAGATGCAGAGCTGTGCTCCCCAGGAAGAGCCCTGCTTGGCACAGGGACACTGCTGTCATGGCCAGAAAATTGGAGACCATGTCCCTCATGTCAGCACTCCTGAGATTATATCCAGGTACTGTGTCCAGTTTGGGGCTCTCCCTACAGGAAAGATGTTGACAGACTGGAGGAAGGGAAGGCAAGGGAGGCCCCCAGGGATGGCTAGGTCTGGACAACTTTCCCCGAAAGGCCATAGGAGCTGGGCTTGGTCAGCCCGGGGAAGGTAAGACTTTGGAGACCCCACACAGCCCCTTCCTGTGAGGTTATTGAGCCAATCTTCTCTCAGCCAAGGTGAGAGGTGACAAGAAGCCAAAACAAGAAAGTTCTAGATGAATATAGTGAAAACCTGTTCCCCATGAGAACACTCAACAGCAGCACAATTTCCCAGCAAAGTTGTGCAATCTCCATCCTCGGAGGTTTTCCGTACTCAGGCAGTTCAAACTGTGAGTGGCATAGTCTGACCCCAGAGCCGACCTGCTTTGAGCTGGAGCTTGGACAGGAACCTCCTGAGAGCCCCTCCTGCCCAAGTTATACCATCATCCTGTGATTCTGCACTTGGGTGCAGAAAATAAAGCCTGGGAGATGGATAATAATGTATTTCAATACAATGCAACACTCTGTGTTGGGAGCATTTTTGTTCTCTGAAGCAGGTAGCAAAACCATGCAGAATGAGAGCTGAGAGGGTTTTCATTAGCTCCTGCTTTCCACTGTTCCTGCTGTAATGGAAACATTTCTTCTGTTCCTTGCAGCAGCAAAATAATAGTGAGGAAAATTACTCCAGTCAACTGAGCTATGTTGTTCCCATGTCATCCTTTCAGGTGAAATATTTATTACCTATTAAAGTGAATGAAGGCTGCCCATTCACTTCTTTTCAGAAAGCAGCATATAGAGGGAAGAGAAAATGTTCATGTTTTTAAAATGAAAACTGAATTCAGTTTTTCAGAGAACTGAAAATAAGAGACAAAAGATGGGAAAAATTAGGATAAAATGTCCATGTTGGTGCATTACTCCACTGTGGTACATTACACTAAAGCAAGATTAGGGTATAAATAAATTATAGCAAAAGAAAACTAAGTGGGCATTGGTAGGATGAGGTAAGGTCTGCCCCAGCAGTAGTAAAATAAAATCCTTTTCCAGTGCTGAGTGTCCCTGTCAGAAAGAGCAAGAGGGATTTCTGAGGCATTTATCCTTTGTGCAGGGTACAAACTGTGTGCAGAGCAGCTTTGCTCAGGATCAACTGAGCAGTGGAGCAGGAGGAAAAGGCATTGAGGTTGTTCTTCTGAACCAACACTGGCTCAGGCTTTGGTTTAAGATTAAGATTCTTTAAAAACAAAATAGAGCAAGCAAGCTGCATGATCTTTAATGAGAAATGTTTGATATTGTGACTGGCGAAGAAGGGAAATTAAACAAGATTGCTCAGCACAGATTGGTATTGTGGTTGTAACTGTGATGCGCTTCTTCCTCCTGCCAGAGCTGTCTGGTAAGAATGTCCAGTGGCAATCAAGGGAAAAAGCTCTTTTCTAGATCATAAGAGACCTGCAAGATAATAACCCTGTGAAATATCTGCAGAACTTTGCAGATTGTAGCTTTATTTTGAGGCTTGTAGACAAAACAAGAGGGAGAGAGTTGGGGCAGATTAACTACTCACAGAGGTAACATGAATAAATGTGAATTGTAATAGAATCCATGTTGCTCAAGGATCAAAATGTACAAATTAGGGATTCTATCGGCTGTATTCCTCTGGAAAAGAAGTTTGGCATGAGACCTCACAGGCTCTTCAGTATTCAGGCCCTGCCATTAGTAAGTACTTGCTTTCAAAGAATTCACTTAAAACCAGTACGTAGCCACATTTGGACAGTCAGTGGTGACCCTAGAGGTAAAGATACTGCTAAAAACAGTAGTTGGTAAATCCAGAATGAGCTGGGTGTAGCAGAGATAGGAGCAGGTAGCCAAAGAGTGGATCTCATTTAAGAAGGGTCAAAGACTTATTTTTACTCCTCCGGTGTATCCCAAAAATTTCAGTGTACTTGATCCCAACAGAGCTTTAATGGAGAAATGCATTGCTCAGGCAGTGAGCAAGCAGGGGCATCAAATCTTCCACCTTTGATGGGAACAGTGACAGGAAGAGTTCTTTGATGCAAATTGTTTATAAGAAGGTGGGGAAAAATATCTCAAATATCTCAACTCTAAACTTGCAATAGAGCCCAAAAGCTTTGGCAGCTTCAGAGGCAGGAAGCATTCCAGTGTAGGCAAAAGCTAAACAATCCCACAACCACATCTGGGGTGACAGCAGCAGGATGGTGCTATCAGTGATGCGTAGTAATTCAGAGGTGATTTCATAGCAGCATTCAACTGCATGGTTCAGAAAGCGATTGTATCAGCAAAGTAAAAACAGAGTTTGAAACTGGCCAAGAATTTGAGGAGTAGCTGCAAAATAATATTATCTGCTTCATAAAATGAAGTTTCAGGCAGTGATCCAAGGGTTTTGCCCATTTAATAAATGAATGATAGTTCCAAATAGACACCCTCAAATCACAGTAATGACCATACAACTGAAAAAGTATCTGAAATTCACATTCTTCAACATTTCATGAGGCAAAACCCCAAACTCACTTAGACTGAAAATAAAAATGTATTTACAGAATCTATAGCCTTAGTGCTTACACTCAGAAATTCACAATATTTTCAGAGTATTGATCCTTTGAGAAGACATTTTATGTATCCTTAGCTTTGGAAATGTCTCCAAGGCACATTAAGACTGTTGCCCGATCCGAAGAAAACACAAACAACCGAAATCGTTTATGCGGTGCTTTATTGAGGGCCCGGGAGCCTGTGGACTAGTGTCCAAAGACAGAGCCCCATTTCACAGAAAAATCACAGGGTTTTTATATGTTTTCTACACGATTTCTTCATCATCATAATTTCTTAATTCTCTTTCACTACCTGGTACGATTATCTCTCTGACATTTAAATTTTGCCAAAAGTACATTCCTAGATTATCTCCTAGTTACACTGCTTACATTGCAATATCTGCCGTATAGTTCATCTGCAGGTTACATGTGGCCTACCAAGCCTTAGCATAACTACTACTAATGTCAAACTAATGCTAACTAATACAGTTTATTGAACCAAATGGCAACAATTCCCCCCCTTTTGAGCATTCTTCAATCTTCTGCAAGAATGCTCAACTCTTAGTTATCGTTGGTTCTTTCAAATGCTGGATTATCCTGCCCAACGACATCTTCATACTTCGGAGGAGGTCGGCGTCTTTCATTGAGGCGTATCTCATTGGTTCTTGTCAAGGCTTTTATCACTCTTCTGGTGCGTCTTGTTTCTTTTTCGATGACTCCTAGAACACACTTATAGGCTAACCAAACGATTAATAACAAAACTGCAAATAACAGAATGTACTGTACTATTGACGAAACCTATCCAGAAACCTGAAGTCCTAAGGACTCAAATATAGCTCTGATCCAATTATGTTGTGCTTCTTTTTCAATTTCTCTTGTTTTGGATTCAATCGTTTCCAATTGAGAAATATCTTTTTCTACTTCAATGGTCACATTTGGAATATGGATGCAGCAATGGTCAATTTTCGTTTTTAGATATTGACACACACCACGCTCTTTTAACAATAGCATATCTAGTGCCATCCTGTTCTGTAAAGTCATTCGGGATGTGGCTTGTAATTGCAAATTCATGTCTTTAAATCCTTTAATTGTTTGATTCATCCGCTCCACTTGACCACTCGATTGAGGTCGCCAAGGGGTGTGTAAGTCCCAAGATATGTCTAACATCCTGGCCACCTCTTGTACTATTCCTGCTGTAAAGTGTGGGCCTCTATCTGATGACAGTCCTAACGGTACCCCAAATCTTGGAATAATTTCCTTCAACAGTGTTTTGACCACTTCCTTTGCCTGATTGGTGCGACAAGGAAAGGCCTCAGGTCATCCTGAAAAAGTGCATACATACACTAAAAGATACTTAAAGTTCTGTGCTTTCGGTAATTCTGAAAAATCTACTTGCCAGTAATCTCCTGGTTCTGGTCCCACTTGTAATTTCTCTAACTGAATCTGTTTCTTAACTATTGGGTTATTCTTCAAACAAGTTGAACACATGGCATTCACCCGTTTTGCCAATGTTAACATCTGGTTAGAAATTACTTCTCTTTTTAGAAATGTTACCAATGCCTCTGCTCCCCAATGGCATTTATTATGTTCCGTCTCTAAGATGGCTTTCATAATTCGGGTGGGAACTACAATTTGTCCCATGATTGTTACATACCATCCAGTTGCATTCTTTTGCGCTTTCAGCAGCGATGCTAGTTTTTCATCATCCGGGGAATACTTCGGTTCCTGAATTAAATGTGGAGTTACAGGACTCACCTTAGTGGGTATCAGGGCCATTTGGGTCCACACTTCTCTGGCCGCTTCTCGTGCTGTGACATCAGCTAATTTGTTTCCTCGATATATTTTTCCTTCCTCCTTCTGGTGACCTCTCACATGCATTATTGCAACCTTTTCAGGTTGGTGTACTGCATCTAGCAAGGCTAGAATTTCAGTTCTATATTTGATAGTAGTTCCTTGGGAGTTCAATAACCCTCGTTCTTTCCACAAGGCGCCATGAATGTGCACAACCCCAAAAGCATATTTAGAATCAGTCCATATATTCACTTTCTTTCCAGAACTTAACATTAGGGCTCTAGTGAGTCCAATGATCTCAGCTCGCTGAGCTGATGTTCCAGGAGCCAAAGCTTTTGCTTCCACTACAGTGGTAACTGTTACCACTGCATATCCCGCATACCTGGTACCGTTTTCTACAAAGCTGGACCCGTCGGTGAACAGTTCCCAATCCGGATCTTCCATTGGAACATCTTTCAAATCCATTCGGCTGGCATACACTTGTTCAATCACCTCCATGCAGTCATGTGCTAATTCTCCTTCTTCCTGCTCACTGCGGAGAAATTCTGCTGGGTTAACATGATTAGTCATTTTTAGATCTACATCATCCTGTTCTCTCAGAATTGCTTGGTATTGCAGCATTCTGCTGGATGAAAGCCAGTGACCCCCCTTTTGTTCCAAGACTGCCAGTACCATGTGAGGCACAAATACCTCTATTTTCCTTCCCAAAGTCAATTTCCTGGCTTCCTGGATGAGGATCACTGTGGCCGTAACTGCCCGCAAGCATGACGGCCAACCAGCACTTACTGTATCTAGTTGCTTCGAGAAATACCCTACCGGGCGTTTCCAGGAACCAAGTCTCTGAGCTAGCACTCCCAGTGCCAATTTCTGTCTCTCATTCACATACAACTGAAAGTCCTTGTTTAAATCTGGAAGGCCTAATGCCGGAGCTTCTTTCAATGCCTGTTTCAAGTCTTCAAAGGCCTTTTTCCTCTGTCGATTCCAGCTCAACTGCGGTTCTTTCAACGCTTCATATAATGGTTTAGCTAGAAGTCCAAAATTCAGAATCCACAGCCTGCACCACCCTACCATTCCTAGAAAGGACCTTAGTTCTTGATGGTTCCTGGGAAGGGGAATAGCACAAATAGCTTCCACTCGATTGACTCCCAACCGTCTCTGGCCTTGGGTGATTTCACATCCCAAATATATTACACTTTCTTTTATCAGCTGTGCTTTTTCTTTTGACACTCGGTAGCCAGCTTGGCCCAGCATATTCAACAGAGCAATAGTCAATTTCAGACACATTCCTTTTTCTGCTGTCGCTAAAAAGATATCATCCACATACTGGAGAATGACATAAGAGGAAGGTAACTCTCTTACCTCAGCAGTCTTCCATTCTTCCAATTCCTTTGCCAGTTGATTTCCAAATATTGTAGGGCTGTTTTTGAATCCTTGCGGCAGTCGAGACCAGGTGAGCTGTCTCTTTCTTCCAGTATCAGGACTCTCCCATTCAAAGGCAAAATATTTCCTGCTTTCCAATGCCAGAGGGATGCAGAAGAAAGCATCTTTCAAATCAATAACAGAGAACCATTTAAATGTTTCTGACACAGATGTTAATAAAGTATACGGATTGGCAACCACTGGGTGAATGTCTTTAGTAATGTTATTAATTGCCCTCAAATCCTGCACTAGCCGATACTTACCATTGGGTTTTCTAACTGGAAAAATAGGAGTGTTAAAGTCTGATTCACATTCCTGCAAAATTCCTTGTGCTAAAAACTGAGTTATCAAAGGAGCGACACCCTGTTTAGCTTCTAACTTGATTGGGTATTGTTTTATTCTCACTGGCTGAGCTCCTTCTTTTAATTCTACTACCACCGGCTGAGCAGCTTTTGATTTTCCTGGATTCCCAGTCTCCCATACCCAAGGTACTACAGCTTGATCTACTTCAATAGGAATAGGAGAGGGATCAATTTCTTTTATTACAAACAATTTAGCAATTTCTTCTCCCGGAACCTCTAATTTCACCCTCCCATTCTCGAATATGATTCTGACATTTAATGATGACAACAAATCTCTGCCAAGCAATGGCTTGGGGCAATTAGGCATGTACAAAAACTGATGATCTAATTCTTTTCCTCCAAATCTCAAATTTAATGGTTGTAAAAAGGGTCTTTCTTCTAATTGTCCCGTTGCCCCCACTACCTGTATGGTAGTATCGCTGATAGGTCCTAACCTTTTGTTTAAAACTGAATGCGTTGCCCCCGTATCCACGATAAACTCTTGTTCTTTCCCATCAATATCAATCCTGACCCTCAAGTCCTGTTCTAGTCAGCTTTGATTCTGATAATTTCCCAATACAAATGCTTGGGCGCCACCTACTGGATTCACGGGGTAACCTGTTGGTCCATTCACTGGCATTCCTCCCAATCCAGCTTTCACTGGGCACTCATTCTTCCAGTGTCCTATCTGACGACAGAACGCGCATTGATTGGGAGCAATCTCTCCTTGCTGGGGACTAGGAGGGGCCATCCCCCGTCCTCCAAATTTAACATTCTGGAATCCTGCCCTGCCACGTCCAGAACCACGACCGCGCCCAAAACCACCTCTGCCTCCCCCCCTTTCACTGGCTTGCTGCATTATAGCTAGTATGTTCGCCTGCTGTTTCTTGGCCGTTTCTTTTTCCCTGTTATTATAAACTTTCCAAGCCACCTCTAGCATTTTATCCAGATCACGAGTATCTTGTCCTTCTAATTTCTGCAGTTTTTTGCGGATATCTTCCTGTGTCTGACCCAAAAAGATTAAAGCAAGCTGCAATTTTCCTGCTTCACTGTCGATCTCCAAATCAGTGAAGCGTCTAGCAGTTTCTTTAAGTCTTTCTAAAAACGCCGAGGGAGATTCATTCTTATCCTGCCTGACAGAATACAGTTTTGACCAATTTAGCGTCTTAGGCATCCCAGTCCTGATTCCTTCTACTAACAACTCCTGGTACACCTTGATAGATTCCATTCCTCCGACCCTGTTTGGATCCCACCCCGGATCATCGCTCGGAACTAAGTCATTTACTGTTTCTACTGTACAACGCAGCCTAATCACCTCTCGAGCACGCTCTTTCATTGCCTGTAACACCATCTCCTTTTCGGTGGAATCCATCAAAGTATCTAGCAAAACCTGCATGTCATTCCAATCTGGATTCTGGGTTTTAATTATCATTTTGACCACCCGGGCCACCCTCTCCGGATTCTCACGGTAACAGCCTGCTGACTGCTTCCAAATCACCAGATCTCCTGGGGAGAAAGGCACTTTCACAAGCACTTTCTCTCCTTGGGGTCCCATAGCTTCCCTTAAAGGGGCAATAAGCTGGGATTCCCCGTAATTTTTACGTCCCTGTCTAGTTCGTGCCGCGAGCGGAGTATTTCGCCGATTCTGGGGAGAAACAGGGGAAGGGGTTTTAGGTCGGATAACAACTTTCTTAACATTCCCCGGTACTACCGTTAAATTTGCCACCTCTTCCTCCTCATCCTCATCCTCATCCTCAGTGCTGGTTTCTGGTAACGGTGGATACAAAGAGGAATGGGGTGAGACAGAGGGAAGAGGTGAGACAGCAGGAGGGGTTGAGACAGCAGGAGGGGTTGAGACAGCAGGAGGGGTGGGGAAAGCAGGGAGCGCACCGGGTGACACCATAAAAGACAAATCCTCCTCTGGTCGAGAGGTTAAGGCTAAGCACTGAACACATTTAGATCCTTCTTTACAACCCCCGCACTTAGATTCTTTCATCTCCAATACCATTATTCCACACTCAGTCTGCCATTCCTTTTTACGGCGCAGTAAATGAAACAAGTCTAAATACTGTATTTCATCCCATTTTTCATTTTCCTCCAGATAGCGCATTAACGAATTTATGGTGTCAAAATCCACAGTACCATTCTCTGGCCATGACGGCCCTTCTCGCTTATATTCGGGCCACCAATGATTACAATAGTCAATCATTTTATCCTTACTCATCTCCTGGAAAAACCTTTCACTTTTCCACCTCTTCAGTAAACATCCCAGCGGGGTATTTTCTGGGATACCTTTATTAGACTGAACCATAAACTTAAGTGTCTTGAATGGCATTTTGAACCTTACTCACAGCCGTACAAAAACTCGGTAACCAATAGCAACAACCAATATGCAGCAATATATGAAACAATAAAAACCACAATCAATATTGACAGTCCAACAAAATCAATCATACCACGCACTCACACAACAATCACTTCAATACTGAGGTAGTTTCATTTTTAGCAGCAACAAATTCAACTAACGATTATATTAATCCAATAAGCAGCAATATACAAAACCACAATCCAGAATTAAGCAAACTACATACAACAAACAAAAAGGACTAAATACCAGATAAATACCAGACCAATCCGACTTGCCGCTTCTCGACGCCGCGAGGGGCAAGTGCCGGACCTGCGCAGCTTTCGCCGCGTCTGACAGCCGGCGCCTAGGCTTCCCAGACCAACCAGACGTCTTAGCCCAACCCTGCGAGGATCGCCGCCTCGTCTTATGAGCAGGCACCCAAACCAGAAAAAAATAAAGCACCTTCGGGCTTACCTTTTGCAGTCGTCCGTCAGGTGCGGGGGTCGGGCACGAACCGATGACTCCCCGAGAATCACTCGGTGCCGGCGTGGAGTGGATCAGAACGCGAACCGCCCCAGGCACCTTCGGAGTCCTGCCGCGGTCGCCAGAAAACTGTTGCCCGATCCGAAGAAAACACAAACAACCGAAGTCGTTTATGCGGTGCTTTATTGAGGGCCCGGGAGCCTGTGGACTAGCGTCCAAAGACAGAGCCCCATTTCACAGAAAAATCACAGGGTTTTTATATGTTTTCTACACGATTTCTTCATCATCATAATTTCTTAATTCTCTTTCACTACCTGGTACGATTATCTCTCTGACATTTAAATTTTGCCAAAAGTACATTCCTAGATTATCTCCTAGTTACACTGCTTACATTGCAATATCTGCCGTATAGTTCATCTGCAGGTTACATGTGGCCTACCAAGCCTTAGCATAACTACTACTAATGTCAAACTAATGCTAACTAATACAGTTTATTGAACCAAATGGCAACAAGACATTTGACTGAGATAGAAGAGGTGGATAATTAGTGACATTGTTTGTAAACACATGCTTAATTGGAATTTAAAAGAGGGGTAGCATGCACTTAATGGCTGGTATTAATTCTGCATTTAATATTTAAGACAGTGTATTAACAGGTGTAAGATGAGAGAGCATGTAATCATTTAATCAGATAATTAGCTTATTACAAATATTTTCATTTGTTGCAATTATATGTTAGGCTTTACCTTTATCTCTTTTAATGCAGTAGGAAAATTAATTCCACTATTCTAAAACATGTTGTTCAGCCACTACAAAACCAAAGGTAATAATTATTTCTGCTTGCATGTGCTGCCAGAGAAAACCAGAGCTGAGGAGAGACTAGCTGTTTGTCTTCTAGTGTTCAGAGCCACCCATATACCCTGACACAGGTGACACTTCACAGACATGAAATATGGCAAGCTTGTTCCATAGGATGGGACCAGCACACTTGTTGCCCTGAAAACTCAGCTTCTGAGCTTGCTAACATAGTTTTCTAAGGACTTTCCCAGGACAGTAACTGTAAACATAGATATGTGTACATTCTTTCTGTTACACATCTTGTGATGGGCATCTCTCATGGCCAGTGCAGTGAGAAAGTGTTATCCTGACCATCCAATCCCTGGCCGTGGTCAAAAGCCTATAAATCCTGGGAGGAAAGATAAACTCTGCTCTTCCTTTCACCACACCTCGACCTGTGTCCGCGTGATCTATTGATCTTCAGCGGTAACATCTGGTGACCTCGACATGTCTTGCACGTGTGTTACAGGGTACTGTCTAGCCTGTGGCTATGGATGGTTTTGGGCTTTCTTACGGAGGGCCTGGTTACCGAAATATGACATGCGGTGTCTGATCAGAGAGGGATTGACCTTTCGTAAGCTGACTTTCAGCGATTGTGTGAGTATGGGAGAATTGAGGGGTTTTTCCCTGTGGTTGGAGCGATTTTTTCACAGTCAGCTAGGGATGCTTTAGGTGATTCCCTGATCGAGTCTCTGCTGGTCGGTTATGAGCCCCAGCTGCTCCGGCTGCTCGGGATCTGGCGAAGGTGCAGCAGTGTTCTGAGGTCAGGTCCCAAGGTCGGCTCCCCCGGGATCGCAGGGGCCCCCGGCGGGTTGAACGGGGGCGCCGCGGGACCGGTGGGCATGGCCCCGCCTCGGCCTGTGCCCCGGCGGTGTAGGCCCAGGGCGGGGTTGGATCCCTGCCAGCAGGCCATCAGGGGCGCCGCGGACCCGGCGGGTGTAACGCCGCCTCGGCCGGCGCCCTGGCGGTGGAAGCCCGGGGCAGGCTCGCCTCCTCCGTGTGCCCTCCCGGCACAGACCGATGGGGGGGTGCTTGAACGGGGGGCCACGCCGGCCGTGGGGGATGCCTCAGGGGTCCGTCCCATGTCCCTGCTGCGGCTGGGCCGTGCCCTGCCCCACGGTGGGCGCCAGGCCGGGCCCGGGCCCCGTGCCGGATTCGTGGGGCGTGGGGGCGGGTGCTGCGGGTGCTGCGGACGCCGGGCCGGGTTCTGCCAGCCCCATGCTACAGGATTCCCGTCCTGCGAGCCCAGGTTGTTCCCTGGCAGCAGAGCGGGATGGTGCCGGGTCTCTGCGGGCTGCGCCCCAACCGATGCCTCGTTCCCCCCCCGCCTCGCGGGAGGCGGGCCGCGCTGCGCCAGCTTCACTTCGCCCCGCCTCGCATTCTCCGGCATCACCTGAGCCTGCGGCTGGAGGCAGCCCCTCCCCGTCGCCTCCTGTGGCTGTGGCAGACCAAGGTCCTGAGCTGTTTACCACTGGCTCGGGTGGTGCTGCCGCGGGACAGAAGCCAGTGGCCTTGATGGGCCAGGGGTCCCAGGCTGCTGGAGCTTCTTCAGCTGGCCTGTGGACCTCATCCTCTTGTCAGATGACTGTGCAGCTGAGCGTATCAGGCATTCCATGTGCTTCTGAATACTTTGATCCGGTGGGCGAGGGCTTGAGTGCTCTTCTTGTGGCGTGGTTGAATGTCACTGCCCAAGGCATCATTGTTCACCTAGGGGACATCGATTTGGATTTCCTGGGGTGCATTTCTGCCATGGGTTCCACACTCATCCTTCCTGTTCCTATCTCTGCGGGACCTGGATTTGCTCACCTTGTGCCTTTTGAGTTTTATGTTCGCAGAGCTGAGAACCAGCTGTGGGGAGATGGTG